ACAAGGTCACCAAACACAACCTTTCTCCTCCCACCCAGCAGCAGGAGCAGCAAAGCAGCCAAACACATTCCCCCGAGAAGCTCTGGTTGTGCCATGGAAATAGATCCTGAAGGGAGGAGTGAGACAATGTAAAAGGTTACAGAGTTTAAGCACCAAGAGGGAGGATCAAGGTTATATAAAGTTTTACAGGTCAGGACAAAGACCTCAAATATATTAAAGAAAATAAACAGAGGGATGAAGTCAGCCACACACGAGTGCCAAGGTTGGCTTGGGCTCTTTAAACAATTCAGGGGTTGATCAAGAGTTTTTGAGGAACAAATCCAGGGTTACCCAAACTGAAGGAGATCCTACAGGGAGGCGAGGGGCTGGAAACAGCCACCAGGCAAAGAGCTCCTGATACACAAAGTGTGGGAGTCACTTCATGAATAAAATCACTGAAATCAAAGCTAACACCTGCGTTAATCACACAGTTTCAGACTCCAAGAGCAAGAAGCACGTGGGAATGAGAAAAAAATACCTTTATCCAAGAGCTCTCCCTATGGAGTGTGAAGCTGGAGCATATGGATGCTAACTATGAAGCAGGGAGCACAGTGCCTGTGGAATAGCAGGCCGCATAACTTTCTCAGTCTCGCCTGAGAAAGTGGCCTGGGAAATCTTAAGGAGGAATTAAAACAATCCTCAGAGATAGAAGACAGCCTTGCAGGTGCTGTTTGTCTGTTCCTTGTTTTCTTGCAAGAGAAGGTCAAGACCAATGATGGTGATGTGTTAGTTTACTAACCAATAAGAGTTTTACTTTTCTGTACTTTCATGTATCAGTCTATAAAAAAGATCTGAGGTAATAAACCAGAGAGAAATTCTCCTGTTCAACTCCCAGAAGAGTCTGTGTTGTTCTTCTTGCCATTCCCAATAGAGCAACGGGAGCAGAATCCCAGCTCCGTGCGCCCCACAGCTTCTCCTTGCTGGAGAAGAGCATCACTGGCAGTGCTGAGGAGCATCAGCCCAGCTGTGACACTGAACCCATCCCCTGGTACCCAAAACTCCGTTTTTCAGGGACCCAACACCTTCCTGCCCCTTCTTCTGCACCAATGTCACCGCGCTGCTCTCGGCGAGCGGCTCCCACCTCCTACCCGAGCTACGGGACTGAGGTGAGGGAAGCACGGGTAATAAATAGAGCTTCCCACACCCTAAAAAACTTCCTTCCCACTCCAGGAAGCGTTTGCATGTACCTCAGCTGCTAATTTTAGGATGGAGTTTGAAGCCACTGTGAGATTCTCCCGGAATCCTGGTTGGATTTGCAGGGAGACTCAGCCCTGATGGATACCTGGAGTCACTGCTTTTCCTTGGAAGACAACTTGGAGATGCTGCTTTTGTATCCTACGTTATCCACTGCCAGATTTACAAAGTCTGGGATTTATTTCTTCAGTTTTATGTCCTAAGTTAATTCTGTAGCATTCCAACTCTTTCCTTTCTGCCTCAAGGGGAAAGGTGAATGGAGGAAATAAATTCCTGCCACTGCATACTCCAGTGCATTCCCAACGTAAGAATAAACCCAAGGAGTGATGATCCAGCACAAAATGAACGCTTCATGCATTTTATTGAGTGTATTTAAATCTGCATTATAACATCTTACATAGGGAACAAACTCCTCCTAAGTGTTAGCTGGTAAATCTGGTCAAACTGTCCAAAAACCTCTGAGTACCAGTTTGTATTAAACAAAAAAAAACACAAATGTAAAGCACTGTACCAAAGAAAAAGGGAAAAAATAAAGAAAAGTGTCACAGTGGAATTCAGGGCTTCCCAACCAACAGCCTTCCCAGCAGAGTGAAATTCCGAAAGGGTCTCAAATATTGTAGCTAAAGGGAATAAAACCAGATAGAAATCAAATAAATTTGATGGTATGTTTCCCCATAAGAAAAAGGAGACACAGTCCGTCTGAGAGGTTGGGAAGCCCTGGTGTAACAGATGCAAACCTCTTTTTTCTACCACACCACCACTTCTTTGTACTTTGGGTACGTTACCATTAATTGTGTCTCTTCAGCCTCCTGCTTCCCCCCCTCCAGTTGAGGGTAAACAAAAAGCCTACTGTACATAAGGGCAGGAAATATTTCTGAAGTTGTTATAAATTCCCTCCATGTGGCTCCAAGCCAACCTTCATCCAAAGCTCCTCCTTCTGGGAAAAGGCAGAGGAGCAGGAAGACATTTCCGACAGCGCCGGGCTCCTCCTCGCCTGCTCACTCAAGAGCCTTTCCCAAACCAGGACATCGCTTTTGTGGGCACAAAAATCCCAAATTAAGGGTGAGATGGAGCGATGGAGATTTGTTTAGAACCCCCCTCATCCTTACCTGCACCTCTTGTGACCCTCACCTTGTCCATTTTTAGGAGGAAACCGCTGGATTGTGGTTATCCCACTGGGAAAAGGGCCTTTGGAGTCCCACATTTGCATAACCCAGACAAGTGACAGGAAACTGGGATGCCACTCATTATGTGCCATTGTGCCAGCTCTGGTGGGAAATCCTTGGTCTGCAAGTGCACACAATGGACAATTAGAGCTCCTTCAGACCCCTGGGTGTCTGTCCTGCAGCTGCTGTGCTTCCTACAAAAGGCCTTTAAAACTCCCTGATTTCTATGCATGAAGTACCTAAATAATCAAATGGCTTTTAAAACAACTCGACTGCCTTCAAGTTCTCCGCAAAAAATTTGACTTGTTAGAAGAAATAAAAAATATGCACGTGAAAGGGAAATTGAACCAGCACCAGGAATTCAGGTTTTCCACAGATAGAGCCCCAAATAAAATAAAAAATAACACCAAAAAAAAAAAAAATCTATGTGAGCACCCACACGTCTGTGTTGGCTCACAATGTGAATTAAAATATGAACTTACAGCAACCTATAACTGATGTAATTATTAAAAACTGTGTTTGTCACAAGGCTTTGGCCTGGTGATCATTGCTGTGGGCAGGGTCTGTCCTGCCAGAAAGGAAGGAAGCTCACACTCCAGGTACTCCCAGCAGGAGTTTGGACATTTGGGAAAAAAACCCCGTGGGAACCAGTGAGTGGGGTAATGATAAAGAGGATCCTTCCAAACCAAAATAGAAGCTGCTGATGCTGAGGAATCCCGCTGGTGCTGAAGGCAGATCCCACACGGTGGCACTGTGACCCAGGCTCCAAAACCATCCTTCCTACAAATCAGCAACGTGACAAAACTCGCCCTTTTAACCCTTCATACCCCTCCAGCACGACTGAAGATGCTGTGCCTCCCTCCAGAAATACAAAAAAAAAAGGAAGGAAAAGCTAAATACACATGTTCCCTATCAAAATAATTCATGAAATGTAAATTAGTCTAATTATGAAAGTGTTTCACTTCAGTTTTGCAAGCAACTGAAATGTTAATATTGGCTTTTCCTAACTCCTATCTAAATTTAGATAAATAGAAATTTAATTACCCTAATTAACTGAGCTACATAAAGAAGTTTTTGCTGCAGACAATGAGCCCCCAGCCCCTTTAGCACACTCAGCGCTGCGAAAGGCAGAGAAACGACAGAGAAAATTCAACATCTCCCAAATGGAGATTAAATTATTTGCTCTTGGTACTGATTGGGAAACCTCCAAGATTTTATTAATTGCTCTTGTTACAGAAAGATAAAATGTTAAGACATGCTATTAGCTAATAAAACTGTAAGGGCAGTTCTACCAAGGTGGAAATTCCATGGAAAAGGTGGGGTGAGAGGTACCACAGCCATGCTTTGTGTGGGTTTGGGATAACTGGGATAACTGGGCTCCCTTCCTGGTGGTCACCAGCTCCGATTTGAGCATCTCTGACCTTCAACATCTAACACAGTACCCATGTAAAGAGGGATTTATTTTTCTTTTCCTTCTAATTCTGCGCTCTGTAAGTCTGGAAACCGTGACTGAGAGCGAGTATTTGCTCTGTGAAATTCAGAAGTGTTATTTTGCTGTGAAATTTTGGCACGGAGAACCCAGCACCCAGAATCAACAGCCAACTTTTAATTTTCCAGTGATGGGTGCCCAAGGAAGAACCAAACCCGTGAGCTGATTGCTTGTTCTGTTCCCAAAGAACCCTCGTGTTCTCTCTGCCGTGATGGTGTGTCCCACCAGGAGGAAAGCGAGCTCAACAACCAGTCAGGGTTTCCCACTGAAACAGCACAAAATGCACATGGAGGGGAAAAAAAAAAAGGAATTTTGGGATGATGTGGAATACTGAACTAGCTGAGATGTTAAAATGGTTTAGAGCAGCGATTATAGTTTATGCACCCACCACTATAAAACACCAAGAATGTGTTTTAGTTAGGAAAAAAGAGATAGGCCACCTTTGGTTTTGTCATCTGAGGAAAAAGCAACATTTCCCATCCAGCCACCAAGAGCAGCTCATATCCCTTCAGAACTACTGCCCTGGAGTGGAAATAAATAAAAACCACTTTCCCATTGCACATGTAAGCCAGGAAAAACCCAAAACCTTAGAGAATAAAAAGAAGAAGGGGGTCACTGAGAGTGAAGGGTGCCCCCCCACATACACACACTGATGAGAGTTTAGGTACATTCTCCAATTCTCAACTGCAACACATCACATACCTAATTTAAAAAAAAAAAAAATCATTTTCATTCTGTCCAATGGGAATAAAAAGAGCTTGTCGGGTTTTTACTGTTATTCTCAAGAATCTGCTACACATTTAAGTGCACTCATTTTTAAATGTAACCCAATACCAAGGATGTGCTTTCCAGTTATTCCCTGTGGCACTTGCATCACAGGCTCCCAACACCAGATCACTCAACACATCCAGGGGTTACCAATACAGCTGAAGCTCATGAAGAACTAAAAAAACCAACCTGTACATACTTGTTTGCTGAAGTTACATTGCCTCAAAAATTGAGAGCAAAAGCTGATAAAAAAAATTGGGCACAAACCTCAGTGAACAAACCAGTACACATGGGTTTGTATTATTCCATATTTGCAACCATACCAAGAAATAACCAGCCATTAGAACAGTTTCTAATTTTTATCTTTTTTTTTTTTTTGGTGGCATTACTGAGCCAAAAACACCGCAATTATAACATTTCATTTCTGTTTTTTAAAATGCAATTAAATGTCTAATCCAACTGTTTTTATGTTACAGTAGCTGTTCACATAAATAGTACAGATATGCACTGCTCTTGACAGGTACACAGTCACAAAAGCAGCTCTCTCGTGTTCACTTTGCTCTCTGTGTGGTGGGGTCTGTATGAAAAGCATTCTTGATTTCTAAGCATGGTACAATTTTAATTCTTAATGCGTTAGAGTACAACAGTGCGTTGGAAAAGTACTGAGCTTCTACAAAAAAGCTTTACAATTTTAAAACAGATTTGTTGGGTTTTTTTTCCTTTATTTAAACAAGCATAGGCAATTCTTATATTTCCACAACAAGATAAATATCCCAATTACGCTAACAGCTCATCCTACAGCGTGCCATAGTGATGGGGAAAGGGCTAACATTAGTGTTATTTACACAGATATGTCCAATATTAACCCAGGAGGAAAATTAAAAGTATGTTCACATGTGCAATTAAATTAATATTATTTTTTCAGAGAGTTGGATTTCTTGCAAAAATTCCTCTATGACTCATGGACACTGAGCTGGGATAACTTCTCAAAGAACTCCTCAGAAGCACAATCTTGAGGACAAACTGTTTATTGGACTGGGATAGCAAGGGCTGGACAGGAGAAAGAACTTAATACTCTTCACAAAGAAAAAAATATTTTGAATTGGGGAGATGTCTTTGGACAAGTGAAATTGAACACCCAAACCGACTAGAACTCGAAAAACCTAATTAAAGAAATTTTCCAATTCCCAATGCTTGAATCCAGAGAAAATGCTTCAATGAGGGAAGATTCACTCCGAGTCATTACTATACATTGAGGTACCACTCAAAAAGTGGCCATAAAGGAAGTGACTTCTTTGCCCATCACTATCACACCAGCTGCCTGGCCATCGACTCAGCTCTCCTTTAGACAACGCTCTCCCTGTTCCCAGAAGCTAAGACTGCTCTGCGGCAGATGGGGCAGGTGGAGTTCTCCGACAGCCAGCGGTCGATGCAGTGCACGTGGTACTCGTGCGAGCACGGCAGCTTGCGGAGCTTGTTGCCCTCCGTGTACTCTGTGATGCACACGCTGCAGGTTTTCAGAGCGTCGCTCTCACCAAAATTCCTCATGGCTAGGTTGTCAATTTGTTCTTTGGTGAGTCCTCTTGGTTGGTCATCGTCATCTTCGTTGAGTAGGAAAAATTGTGCAAGGCTAAGGAATGGTAGAGAACCGCTTTCTTCAAAAGTGACCGACCCCCTCATATTGCGGCCTTCCCTCCTGGCACCAGATGTCGAGCTAGCCTCGTGCCCACCCTCGTACACCTCCCCTGAGCTGACATCTGCATTCTCGCTGCCCGAGGTGCCCCCGCCTCCGCTCTGCGCCTCAGAAGTCTCCACGTTCTGATTGGGAGCCGGCGCACTGGGATCTGCATCGCTATCACTGTACATGAAGTAGCTGAGCTCCCCGAAGCCTGTCATGATCTGCCTCAGCATGGTCTGGATGGCCACTGACGTGGTCTCGCTCAGGCCCGTGTTTAAGATCCGACGGATGGGAATCCTAATGGTGCTGACGTAAGTTCTCACTCCGGCTCGCTCCGAGCGGGAGAACGTGCGCCGGAATCCTCCGCGCTCGCTCTCGTAGGTGACTGTGTTGTTGGGGGTCTGGGAGCGGGAGCGGGTCCTGTTGGCTATGCTGTCCCTCTGCCGGTACTCGCCCGGGCGAACTCTTCTCACCTGCAGGTCAAGCACTATGGTGGGAGGCCTCTGCCCAGGAGCCGTGGACTCGCTGGAGCCGGTGGTTTCTGAAGAACCCGCTGCTTGAGGAGCAGACCTCGTTTCAGGGGGGGAAAACAGAACTGCATTTTCACTTGGCACCTCAGTCCCCACTGTGTGCTGCCTTAAGGTCACGTGCTGCCTGGTTCTAGAGCTGCCCTCAGCCTCGCTCGCTGAGGAGTGCTCGAGCGTTTGAGATGATGTGTTATGGTGAGACCTGCGAGGGGCCTCACTCACTGCATTAATAGGTGACCTACTTCTATCAGTCCTAGCCCGCGTCCGCCGCTGTTCTGGACTCCTACTCCTGGCTCTCCTCTGCCCTCTAGGAGGGGAAGCCTCCTCAGCTGTCAGCTCCTCCGCGCTGCTCCTTTCTGATCCAGGCTGCCTTACAGACGGTGATTCAGACCTTGGAATTTCAGAGTCACTTTGGCTGTTTTCCAAATCCTCCCCATTGGAAGGCTCTACAGATGGCTCATTCTCAGTTTCTGGATTCGTGTTCCCATTATTACGGTTGACATTTATTTCCAAACTGAATCTGAAGTCGCCACTATTTGGGTTAGTCCGGCTCACTGCTCTCCAGGACTGGTTTCCTCGCTGCCCACTTCGTGTTGTATTTCCAGTCTGTCGGACTGAATTAAGCCAGTCTATTATAGAATCTCCATTTGAAACATCTTCTGCGGACTCTGCACCTGTGAAAAAGACAGGGAACTACCAAAATTAGAGTACTGAGCTAATTTTGGAGCCATCTTTTCCAAGAACATAATTGCTTAGCTTAACAAGTGACAATTTAGAAGTGCCGAATCCTACCAAGTGCTACTGTGGTTTCATAGGCAGAGTGACAACCCTGTAACTACCAGAGCCCTTCTAAGGGAGCAGGAGTGGACATTGCTCTAATATGGACAGATAGGCTGCAGCCATCACAGAGCAAACAAGTCATCAAAAGAACATGTATTTTCTATCTTAAGTAAATGGAAAGTCACATGTCAGGTGTCATAACACATCAATATTCTGTGTTTTCCTTTCCAAACAATTAAGTGATCTATCGACTGTGAAACAGAGAATTAAGTTTGTCCTGAGCCTCAACCTGCAGAGCTTTATAGCTAATCTGTCTCACTGAAGAAATGAACCCCAGTGGTCATCCCTGAGGATCCCCCACCAATCTCTACAGAAGGGTGACAACACAAGCAGTGCAGCATCTTTGGAAGGGAAGAATGGTGAATTAAAAAGAGGGATTGCCAAAAAGCATCCCAGAAGGGAGCAGACAGAAAGGCAATCTTTAAAGAAATAAAAAAATTAATAAACCTTAACAAAACTTTATTTTGATAGAAGTAAGAGATGTGTTACGAATGAAATCTGTCCCAAACTGACCTCTGCAGCAGATACCAGACATAAGGTTCACTGAGTTTTGAAACAAAGCTCACCTTGCACCTGCCTAGGCTTAACTTTTTCCACTCCTGCACTCAAGTTTAGGTCCGTACGGGGTGCTAAAGTTAAGAGTTTTCACAAACACTGTATATACCTCTATTCTCATCACTGTTTTGCTGTGGCGGACCTTCTTTAACTTGGTGTAGCCTTCTCAGCAACTCTTCTTCAGTAATTTCACCTTAGAAAATAAGCAAAATTTTCCAAAAATATTTCCAAATCATATACGTATGGCAAGCATTATCAAAAGCTTCTAAAGAAGGTACAAGCCACTGCTTATGTTCTGTCTAATTAAATCCTGCCATAATGGCACTGCCAAGCACGTTGCTAAGGGGAAGTTCAGACACTTTAGCACTGTTGTCCCAATTAAGTTTTCTTGAAGCTGAAATATCCAACAGTTCCGTCCTATTCAAGAGAGATGTGCTCTCTGGTTCTGTAACCTCTACAACTGAGCAGCAATTTTTGTCATCCTACACCCATTAGGGTGCCCAGAGTGAAATAGTTGAGGTTAACACTTCCACAAGCAGGAAAAGAAGGTTTAAGTTACTCGAGTCGTGGTTTGAATTAGATTTTAACCTATAAAAAGGAAATCTAGCAAGTTGATTGAGAGCTGACATCAAAATGCCCATGCAAAATCTCATACCAGACTACTTACCCTGGTTACAAACTTCTAACCTCACCAGCACAAAATCTGCACACAGATGCTTAAAGGAGACTTTTTGTCCATTTAAGGGCTCATAACTGGAACTGGATCAAATCTGGGTGCTCCTGCCAAGTTGTGCGAACACCAGATCTGGTGAATCCACACCATCCTATGTCTCCACAAGTCAAGGGACAATGTGAATTTAAACACGTGCAAATTAGCGAGAAGCTACTTCCTACCACGGAGCACGGCTGCAGCACACAGACGGGTGAAAGGGCTTCAGGAGAAGACAAAATGACACAAATTGCCTACAAGCAACTCTAGCAGGATGGACACAGGCAAGCATTACCTACCTGGTGTTCCTAGCAAATTGTTGTCTCTCATAAGCCTGTAGTCCTCTTCACTCAGGTTGTTCACAAACTGATAGAAAGCTTCCTCTCGATCTAACCGATCCAGCTGGCTCTGACGTTGGGCTTCTGATTGATCAATACTTCCTTTATCACTAGAATCTGAGCTTTCCATCTTGATGAGTAGAAGAGTACCTAAAAAAGGAGAGAACAAAGCCTTCATCGAGAGCAGTGAAATACAGCCTGGAATTTAGGCATGTTTGCAATAGAGAGTGAAGTACAGGTTAAAGCAGTTTGTTAATGAAGCTTTAGTTAAGATCAGGTTCATCACCACAGGGATCAAAAACAAAGCAGAAACCTCCTCAAGAAGTACAAACAAAACTGATGCCCATCATTACCAAATACTCAACAAAGCAGCAAGCTGAACACAGAATATCATCTGTCATAAGCCTTAGCCCATCTTTCCATTCACATAGTAGGTGACCATGATTATGTGCTTTTTGCATAAAATATTCCAAATATCACAACTGCCTGTCCAAGCCGCCTTACAGAAGTGTAGTACAAGGCATAAGCCATCCTTGATCATGCTCTCTGAGCACAGGATTACATGTTCCTTGCTTTTTCCTGCCTGCTACAGAAACACCCTCTTCACCATACAAGTGAATTTTAACACAACAAAGTGGTTATGAAGAACTCAGAGTGTTTGTTTTTGTGTCTGTGCACAAAACCAGGTTCTCATTCCCTCAAAAAACAAAAAGAGTTTGTAAAATCACCTTTACAGTTTTACATCAAGAGAGGAATTTGCTTTCAAGTTTCAGCTTTTACTGAACATCAACTGACGCTGATGAGCAAATTTCCAAGACAAAACTCCAGCATACACCAGGTATCACTGCTTTAAAGAGCTGTCTTCTAGGCTGCATATTTTTAAATATAACTTTCTCATATTGTTTTTCATTTGGATAAAATACCTGACAATGTCTCTCTTTCAAGGAAAATAATCGATGAATGCCGTGTCTGTATCTGATAAATATTATAAGGAACACATGCAAATGCAGGAGACATTCTGGCACTGGCTGTGCCATGCAAATACATCAAATGAAGATAAAATAACCAGTTTCCTTGATCACTCTGCCTCAATATTCACAGCACCAAGAATTTTCCTGTACAACTGGTAGAATCTAGTTACTCGGAGAGGTGATTAACAAGCTAATCCTCTGCATGCTAAAAAGCTCTGCAATAACATTCCCCATCAGAAAACATTCCTTTCATTTAAACCATACTTCATGTGACATGGAAATACTGGAAGAATAAAGCTTTTCTGCTTCTCACTGGAAAATTTCCAACACTTAGACATCTGTCTAGTGCAAAAAGCATCTTTTTTTGGTTGTCAGCACAGCTGTCAAGTCAAGACTGCCCACAGTTTACATTAGTGCTTCTCCAGAAGAGCAGCACTGCATGATCTCCATGGGCACTTTATTTCAGCTGCTATGGTGAAAATTAAAGTGCACCTCCGACCTCGGTGTGTAGCACCAGAAAAATTCCACAGGACAGGACATCCCATTATTGCAGACTTGCAAATTATGAAACTGCTGTTCTGACCCTCTTTGTCTCCAGTTCTGATAGAACTTGATTTTAAGTTAGTGCTATTAACTTATTGCCACTCTGGGCTACTGGTGCCATTTGGTTCTGTGAAGTTCTGCCCTTTTACCAAAGCAATTACACTCTTTTTTTCAGCAATCAGGGAACAGCAGCAATTACCAGGGTTACTCCTGAGTCAGATGGGAGCCTCTCAGCTTTCTCTGCATTTCTAAACCCCTGGTGCAATCTGAAGACTGCAGACTGGCATGTGAGTGTTGTGTTCTGGTGCTGATAAATGACCCCATTCACAGGACAGTTGAGCAATAGTTTCTGCAGGTGTGTTCAGCTCTGACTGAGCTCACTCAGGAAATCTCTGTGCCCTTCAGAGGCCAGGCACATATTTCTAATGAGAACACAGCTTCAATAAACTTTTTTTACAAGCTTTTTGTAGAAGAATTATTACTTCAAGTAGCATTACTTAAAGACATGTCAGAGAAAATACTTTTAAAAGCAGTTCTCTCTCATTCTGGTATGATCTGAATTAAAGTCTCAAGTAGAATGAGAAAGTTGTATCCAAAATAAAACCCTGAAAGACGCATCAATTCATTGGGAATACACATCAAACTCTAACCAGCATTCCCTTTTTTGGGATAACTATGACACAAAGTCAACAAGACTAAGAAAATAAAGACAAGTAATAAGATGCTAAGGGTCAGGAGCAGCACCAAGTTTTGTAAAATATTTTACTCCAAATGACTGCCATGGGATTTACTGACTTGGAAACACGTGAAATGTCTTCAGAAAGATGGCAATATTAACACCTTTGTAAGCATTACACTAATTCTTCAAGAGCTTTTAAAAAAGAAAGATGCACTATGCATACAAAACATAAGATTTGTTTAGTAATTATTTACTACTTTCCTTTTAACTGAAAATTCCAGTGCTTGCAGGCACCTTGGCTATCTAATGCCTACATGATTCAAAGACATTTGCCTATTCCATTTCAGAAAATGAAGGAGTACCATTCTTAGTAAGGAAAAAAGGGAGAGTCAAAACAAGTCAAATGGGGTTTGAAAAATTTAAATACCTCTTCTTTACAAACTGGCTGATGTACAGCTCAATAGGTGGTTCTTTAGGAAATGCTTGGAATAAGTCAGTACTACTTATTTCCAGGTTTGCTCCTTTTTTCTCCTCCATCACATCTTATCTTCCCATGAAATCAGCTAATGGTCAAGGCTGAATAGAGTTTACTGCTAAGAAAAAAGCCTCAGAGGCGGGATCTTGAATGAAGAATTTAATTTACATGAATACTATTTCTGCTAGTGACAAACTGCTGTATTTTCCTATTGCAAGCTACTAACAAGTTACACCAATCCCCCATATCCCAATTTCATGATCCCAGAAAAGCTGTGAACCTCTATGATGGAAATAAAGATGGCACAGAAACAGCAATAACACATTCTCCCTACCTGACTGCTGATAGCAAATGGGATGGTACTCTTCAAACCACAGCTCTGGTATTAAAACCAGTAAATAAAAGCAGGACTTCTACCCCAAGGCTGCTGCTGTTTTCTATCTCCTCCCTGTGCACTCAGCTTATTGTGCATATTGTCCAACATAAGCCTCACCTCCCAGCCTGCTGCAGAGCTCTCCATGGCCAGACTGAACTTACTGGAATGTTTAGAGCGCTCCTGCCTCAGCACAGCTCCACAGAGCCCATCTAGCTGGACAGCAGGATTTCCCTGGTGGGAGTTACTCTCTCTGCACAGAGAGGCAGAAATAACTTGAAAATCTGCCCCTCAGGATGCTGCTGTCAGCTCACACCCTGCAGACAATTAAGACTGGCTGAAGGAAGCCAGTAATACAGGGAAGCCCGATGAGGGAAAACCAACAGGTGTACTATTAGCTTACAACAAAATAACCAACATTTGGCTATCTAATAAGCAGGTACAGTTCAACTATGCTTTTCTATCTTCCACTGTAAGACTTCGTTCTTATCCAAGCTAAAAGATCCAGAATTTCCTCCTTTAGTGTCCTTCCTTGTCAGCACTGAGTTGACACAGGGTGGGGAAGATCACAACTACAAGCAGGAAGTTCAGATCTGCTGGTTATTGCCAACTTCAGCTGAGATACCCAGATAGGAAAATCTCTTTATGGGGAAGTGAGGGGGTGACCGCCTAAAGCCTGAAGCCTGCACAAAGCAAGAGAATCAGAGATAGGATAAACAGTTTTTCTCCTTTAAAAAAAAAAATTTCAGCAGCTGAATATCTAGACAGTAACTACAGTGAATTCTTAATTGGTGTTCCCATCCTGCCACAAATCAGAAAAGTATCTTCCCTGCAGTTACGCTTCAACAAGCTCAGAGATCTCCAAGCACAAATGACTGCCTGTCTCCCCACTGCTGCTCCAGACTGCAGTAAGCCCTCAAAAGCTATTGTTTGTTACATTCTTTTATTCAAGAGGAAGTAATACTGTGTTATTTTGGACTGGGACAATTTAAGAGTACTGCATGTTCCCTCAATAACACAAAGTTATCATTCTTACAGCATAAGAAATACTTTGTTTTCTTTCATGCCAGGTTGTGCATAAACTAAATCCAGTCAGGAATGAGCTTCTGCCTCAAATCTAGTGGAACAGCAAGCAGGGATAACATGTGAGTGTCACCCATTTACCTTCAACAGTAACACAGCCTATCTCCATACTGCATAGCACTCGTGGACTACAGGATTCTTCCCAGAAAAAGTACTAATGGACCATAATGCACAGTAATGAATCTCTTCCTCCTTCAAGAATGTGCAGTATCTCCTGACATTAGTTATCTGTATTGAATACCAAGACACTACCTACCTTAGCCTGCATTCCTGGTGCTTTTAGGTTTAAAGAAATCCCATAAAACATTAGAACTCTCATTAAACCATCTAGGCAGAATTTAAAAATTCTGACTAACCCTGAAATCACTCATTGGCAGGGTTAAATAAAAAAGCACTACCTTAAAACTAAAATCTTCGTTAAGATTTATGGGGCAAGCCTCAAATTTTAACAGGACAAGGCATGGAATTTAATTAAACTGAAGAAACAACTCAGCTGCTCATGAGTCAGGTGTGCAAGAAGTTCCTCTAGAACTCCCCCATGTCGGTGTTACCGGTATTTCAACCTCACCTGAGAATCTCTCGTGCCCTGTATGGCAGGAATGTTTCCTGAGTTACCTCACGTCCCAGCAACACAGTTAATACCTCTGGATAAACAAAAAGGAGGATGGCAGTGTGGGTGTTCCAGAGGTGTCCTCAGCAGAAGGCAAACTTCTCATTTATGATTCATACCTTCATCTTAATTAGCTACTTCAACCTGTAGAGCACCTTGCTTACCTGCAGTCTGCAGAACTGATCAAACTCTTGGACTACAAGAGTGACTCAGGATGGAAGTCAGAAACACTGATTTGTTTGCTTTGGGTCGTTAGAGGCTTTTTTCCCTGCCCAGCTTGCAGTGAACATGCCTCAAAGACACTTCAGCTCCAGAGAAGCACAGCACAGCTGCGTGTCCAAGCGCTTTCCACGAACTGTGACTTCAGCAGCTCTGACGTGCCATGGCAGCACGGCCCCAGCCAGCCCTTGCTCCAATTCCATGTCTCAAATGACACAGGAACAGCAGCTAGAACAGGCAGTCCTCTTACCCCAGCTCCTTCAAGCACAAACAGAACCCACTCCACACACAGCACTCGTCCAACCCACCCCACCTCTTTTTCCTAGAAGAATTCAAAGTTAAAAAACAGTTTCCATGCCAGTCAGTATCCAATTTCTCAATACTCAAAACTAGCTGGAAGTAAGACATAACAGAAACTACATTTTCATCTTAAATATTTCATCACTCAAGTCTACAAGCTCAAAAGCAGAAGCAAAAACTGTCAGTGAATCCCATCATTAAAGGAAAAAGACACCCTAAGACAGTGAAATGAAAGTCATCTATTTGCATTATACATGGAGCTTCATTATGTCAAGTTTGTTTGGCTTTCTCTTTTTGTGCAGGTGCACAAGCTTCCTTTTGTCATCACACCAAAGGCTTTGATACCACAGGTCCAATACACTCATCTCCATCTTAGAAACAGTAAAAAGGAACAAACTTTTCTGGTTTTCAAAGTGGCATCATGAATTTTCGTATTTTTTTTCCCCACAGCTATTCTGGCTTTTTATTTCCACTGGGATGAACAGCAAATTCAGGTTCTTATCAGATTTTTAATAAAACTACCACAAGTTTTAAAATCAAGAACTCCCTATGTCCTCTTTAATTCAAAAATTTTCATGAAACATGCATCACTCTTGGAAAGCTGGAAGAGTTTTGTGTTCTAGGGAAGTGTTCTGTGAAAAGTGCAGTAAAATTTAAATGCCACTTTAACAAGTAGTGTTAAACATCAATTCAGCTTTTTCACTACCACAGTGTGTTTCAAAGCAAAGGCCCTCAAACAAGATCTCATTCTGAACACACATTTCAAACAATAGAAAGCAAATGAATACTTTTGCAGAACAGTGGCAGAAAGTTCCACAGAATAGAAAAGCCCCAACAAACCAGAGAGGAAAAACACTTCAGCTGAACCAACTGTTGAGATAAAGAAGAGAAACACTAACAACTCCTGATAAGTCAGAAAGAAGTGAGGAAATCAGGGCAGAGCTTAGCAATTCCAGAACACTTGAGAGCATGTGGAACCAAGCTGGAGCTCTGAAAATAAAATGTGGTAACAACTGCCAAAATGCTGGGCTTTGCCTTTTATCATCTGCACTTACTAAAACAACACTTTTCACATACAAGTAGAAAATAAAATTACGATAACGCTGCCTTTTGCCATCAAATTCAGATAGCACAGAAGAGAAAGCTTGGTGTATATGAGGTGCAGCAAGTTTGCAGCACTGCAGGCTCATGAAATGATGCTCTTTCTGCCCAGAAATGAGCTTCCTGCTGGGTCAGCAGCAGAAGGCCCACTCTGAACTCCAAAGAAGAAGTAAAGCTGCACACAAATAACCAGTGTTCACACTGAGGGACAGCACCAGAACAGGACTGACATCCAAGGACAAGTAGAGGTTTGATTTCTGAAGAAACACAAGTTATGGTTAGTGAAAACCCTAAGCCAATCAACCCTCACTGACTTTCAACTAAAAAAGAAAAACACATCTTTAAATTCACTGCTGAATCTTGCAGTCTCCACACAACTGCTGCTAATGCAAGCACTGCTAATAGTAAAAAGGCAACAACCAGAGAATCACTGAGACCACAACCCACAGAGGAATTCCAATACGTGCGTTCCTGCTCTTGTTGGCATCTAGTGCCCAACAAACACAGAAGTGAGAAATAAAATGAAGGCAAATTTATTTGAATTTAAGTAGGCATCTGTACCATGAGAATTCCATTTCTGACGCCATCCCAAGGGAGGGAAGCTCCAGCACTTTAACAGGACTACGTGCACATACACCTTGCACATCGAAAGCCAGAGTGCTCTGAGCACAAGATGATTTTAAATTACTGAACTAAGATAAAATGTGTGCTGGCTTTTCCTATGTTCCATAATCATCAGGTGGTTTTACGAGACCATCCAACCCTGCAAACCTCCCTGAGTCAAAAGCTGAGCCACAACACTGCACAGCAGCCAAAAGTTCCTAACAAGTACCTCGTTAATACAAACCTGAGTAGTCTGAAGGAGACTCAGGCTTGTGTTTATGATCTTACCTGCAGCCAGAGCCTGTGCAAAGGCAAAACCAGTCCCTGGGATGCTCCTGGCTATCCCTACTCAGCACACAAAGCTCCTGACTAAGTTATGACACTGCTACGCTCTTTAGAAGTTTTGGTTTTGAGAAGCACAAGACTCTCATAAAAATATCTTGAAGATGGAAATGTTCACATTTGGTTTTATCCCTTCAGGAATAATTTTTGCAAGCTCAGCAGCTGATAAATTTTCACCACGACTGAGATTAAACCACAAAACCTTGGATAAACACCCAACAATCATGTCTGGATTCAAGTGTTTTAACACATGGAAACTGAAGTTCTCTATAAAAAAAACCACTTAGGACACTCCAGTAGTGTGTTAAGCTACATTAAGCTGGATTTAAATGCAATCTTTATACTCATCAAGTATATGGAGTCATAACATTATGCTATATTATGCTATGATTGTTTAAAAAAAAGTGCAACATCTCTACTGCAACTGGAATCTTTCTACTAAGATCAAGGGATTTATTTTGATAAATTCCTTCTTCCACAGGGAAGAAGAATAAAGGAACAAGCAACAATACTGATCTAGAGGAGTTTTGAAAACATTTCCATCACACTCCCCATTCCACTAAAAAAACCCAAATACACATACTGGAGATGAGACACTTGCAACACTCTTGTCCAGGAATTCAGTAATATATGGAATTCAAAAGAAATATGATAGTTGACAACCACTACAGGCTTGAAAAATACTGGTGTGTGGTTATTTCAGTGACAAACATTTACCCAGTGAGAGCTGCTGATGAAGGGAACACTGCAGCTGCTGTGCCTCAGTGGTCTAACATAACAAGAAACCCTTAATTTTATAATGTGTGGTGTGTTTTCCCTTCCCAGGACATAATTCCAAGCTGTCATTATTTTAACTCCAAAATGGTAAACCTGTAGAGGGAACAGAGTCAGTTTAAGTGCTAGGTGACCACTACAACAAAACTAAATATCTGACCCTCAATTAAGATAATTAACTGCCCAAGAAGCAGCCAACTGTTTACTTGTTTTAGAAAGATATGACAAGTCACTGCAATTAAAATTCAGGGACAAATTAGTGCCAGAACTTCTCCTGAACATTTGACAACTATTTTCAAGTCAAAATTGCCCAAGACTGCCAATGTGGACAGGAAAATAAATGTGATGTGTGATGATACTATTGGGTATTATCAAGTTTGTATTCTTGTTTAGGAGCTTCTCTGTATGAAAGCTCCACCTTCCTGAGAAACAGCAAAATAATACTACTATTATTTTTAAAATTCAGGGTTTTTTTTTTGCTTTGAAACCTTTTGTCAGGCTTCTACACCACACTAAAATCGAGACACATAACAAAATTAAAAAACAAACATCAATCATCACTATATTATATATATATATACACACACATACATATATGTAGATATATACACAAGCTGATATTGCTCCTCAATCAAAGCAGATCATTCAAGATAAACACATACATCCAGCCGAACTTGAAAAAGGTTTTGAAACAGAGAGACAGAAACCTTAAAAGCCAACAAACAGCATTAAAAGGGGCAGGGAAAAACCTGTACAGGAAGCTCAGGTGACAGAGCAAAGATGACGTGATTAACTGGGGAGAAACTCAGCACAGGAATAGCAAACACCACAGGTCTGAACAGGTCACAAGCTGATCCAGAGCCTTACACAGCGGGATAGGAAGAATTGTTCTCGCCTGTCCTCCACAACAAGGCTTCTTGCCTCGACTCACGGGAAGTACGGCCTGAAAATACGGCCCTGAAAAGCTGCGATTCCTTCAGCAGGCACTGAACTGTGGACGAGGCCCAGGACAGCAGCTCTAACCACCCCCCTCCCTCCACCCCTCCCAAAAGGAGCTTGTTCCAATTCCTCCCCCAGCCCAGCCGGACATCCCGAGGGTGCCGGGCCCGCCTGCCCTCCTCGGGGGCAGCGCAAACCCAGCTTCAGCCCCCAGTGGAGGATCAGGGTGGCGGCGGGAGGCCCCGCCAGGAGAATCCCCGGGGTGACGGAGCGCGGCCCATCCGGGCACACCCGCGCTCGGACCGCCATCACCGGCCCCCGCTCCCTCACGGCACCGCGGATGGAGCTTCCCGCCCTCCGCAGAGCCGCCCCGCTGCCCCCGAGCGGGGACTGAGGGGCCCCGCTGCCGCCCTCCGCTCCGGGCGGAGGCCGCCGCCGCCTCCCCCGGGCCTGGGCCTCTCCCTTCCCCGGGCCATTTTGAGAGCCCGCCCCCGCCCCGGTGCTCACCGCCCGCCGCCGCCGCCCGCCGCCGCCCCCCCGGCTGTGGGTGCACCGCTGCCCGCACCGCTCGGGGCTGGGTGCCGGCTGTCCGCGCTCCTTCCGTGCCCGCTCCGCCGCCGCGCCGCCTCCTGCCCGCTCAGGCCGCCATTTTCTGCTCCATTGTTACCAAGGAACGGGGGGCCGGAAGCGGCCGCCGGCAGCCGGAAGTAGCGGCGCGCGCGGCCCCGCGCAGGCGCGGCCCGGGAGGGCAGCCCCGCCCAGCGCGCGCGGCCCCGGCCCTCAGGGGCCGCCGCCATTTTGGTGCGGGGCAAGGGCTGAGGGTGCGGCAGGGTGGGGTCGTGGGTGTTATCGCTGCTCCTCGGCTCACTGGCCCAGGGAATGTGGAGGCGACCGGGCGTCAGCGGTGCCTTCTCCTGGTGCAGCGCGGGAGGAGGGTCCGTGTCCCCGCGGTCCGTTAAGTGTGGGGCCGTTTCATGTCACCACAGGTGTGCGCACGCTGGGCAGAGGTGGCTCCGTGCAAGGCCGATGGTGGCCGACAGTGCGAAAATAATAAATATTGGCAGTACTGGCGACTGGCGGTGAGGACATTCCTCCACGTCTAACCATGGCAGGGTTTCCCCTCTCACCTGGCGTTTTGTACTACATACAGCTGGCATGCCCTATGAAAACGAAGATATTCCTGTTTTCCGATGTCAGCCTTAATTAATTGAATGCCAGACTTCCCATCTTAGGTAGGGTTAAGCACATGTGAAGTTTTCCCCCTCACCACTGAAATTATCAAAGGCAGCTGAGTTTTGAGAGATCACATTTTAATGCCCAAAGTCATATCTTGAGATGGTCTTGCAAGGATTGCAAGGAAGTCATCTTCGTAATATTTGATACATAGAGAAAAAAACATATTCCTGAGGATTTACACCATTTCAGGAAGCCCACGAGACACCTTTGTTTCTCCTTTTGGTGGTTCATTATAAAAATAGCACTGTCAAGTTGAGGGGGATGTTGCATTTAAAGGTTGTGGTAACTGTTGAGTTTCTACTCAACAATACAAGCACAACTTCTAATGTAAATGAAGTGTTTTTATATATTCACACTTTAAATTTCCTGTCAGACTTGAGAACTCAAAGGCAGCCACAATGTCTGGGCAAGAGAAAAAAGAAAGGACAGGTACATGTACATATTTTTCATCAGCTTTACTTGCCACAGGCTGTGACCAGGAAAGGAAGATGCCACAATCCTCTGTAATGGAGAGCAGGAAGGAGTCCCACTTTCATCTGGAGCAGGTGTGTTTTCCCAATTATATTTTTGTTCAAATAACCAGTACATGAAGTGATTGAGTTTCTTACAGCGGCAGGACAGGTGATACTTGATACACGGCATAGCAGGAGTGATGGAGAGGTGATACCTAATATAGAATAAAACTTGCTTGCAGAATGTTCACCTTTTATGTTTTTAAAAGTAAATTTGGGTTGAGAGAGTGACTTTAAATCAGACCAGTCCTTTGCATCATTGCTGAAATTACAGTTAGATTTACTGCAGGGTCAAACCATGACTTAACAGCTCTGCTTTGACTGTTAAAATGTGAATAAAATTGAAAAAAAAAAACAAACCCAAAACTAAGAAGAGTAAATTCAATGTCACAAAGCAATTTTGTGGTTTTAATGCACCAAAATATTTGTCATTGGGAAAAGCTGTCTTGCTCTTGACCCACAACAAATGAATTTTTTTTTTTACTTGGGCAGTGCTCCAACCCCTACAAATTGCAGTGGCTGGAGAAACTGTATCCCCCAAAGAGAGACCCTGTGGCTGAGTGTGTGAGCACACCTTTATATTTGACAGGCACCTCTGAAGCTGGCAAAAAATCCATTGCATTGTTAAATGTGGATAATTCAGGGAGCAGGTGATGGGCACACAATTGATCCAGTTTATCATGAAAAGCCTTGTGCCCACGATTGATAAGGCAGCCACCAGTGTGAGTATTGGCAATTAGCACAGCAGCAGGACATTCCTCAGTGTCACCTCAAAGGAAATCGGAGGTGAGGGGACTGCCAGAGGCTGATCATGCATGAAAGTGAATCCTTCCTTTCCTCCCCACCTTTTCTGTATACCAGGTAAGATCAGAGCAGGATAAAAGTGGCTTTGTTTAGACACCAGTAACCTAAGCAGCAAAATATTAGGGATTATGGAGCAAATGGGAGGTGGAGCATATTCTGTTTAGATGGAGGGATAAGACAATGGTTTATGCTCCTGGAACAGCCTCCTGATGTCTGACAGGTCATTTTGTTTGTCTCTTTCCCCTTCAACAAAATGCATTTACTTGATTAACCTTACCAAAAGTCTTGAAAACCATCAAATGGCAAAGCAACAGAGGAATAAAACATTCTTCTTCATGTCTGTGGGTGAGCTCTGACTCTTGAGGCAGACATTTGCCAGTTTGCTGGGAGATGAATACCCGTGAGCAGCAGAGATGGCAGCTGGATCCTGCTGCTTCACACCTTCCTGAGCGCTAAAAACCCGGGGCTGAGCTCCAGGACACACAGCCGAGGAAAAGCCTCTCCCTCGGTGTGATTTGGTGGATTTATTTGCAAATGCCCTCACAGAGTCGATCAGGTACAGAAAAAGCTCTGATTTTTCAAAATCACTTAATGGATTTCAGTATCCACTTGACATTAATAACAATTAATGACCTGTGCACACACATCTCCTTAACAGCTTTGATAAAATTAGGATCGGTGTAGCAGCATTTTTCAAAAAGCTTGGAGGGGAAAATATATCTGCATAGAGAACTTTGCAGTATAGGGAAAAATCCAAAATCTACAGCAAAAGCATGGTGTAATTCCTACTTAAGTGTTTTCAATTTGCTACTGTATGTATAGCAAAAGAGAATTGCAACACTTTTCCATGGTTAGTTCAATGTAGTTTCCTTCAATGAGGGTAAATAAATTTGCTTTAAATTCCCCAGGGTTTTAAAAAGAACTTGTTAGGTATGCAGTGATAGATGAAAAAAATAAAATTTGTTTTTTCTTTTTCTAAAAATATATTAAAATAACTTATTCATGATATAGCTAAGTAATAATCCAAATGCAGTGAGGTGAGGAAATCTGAATCTCTTGGGAGCTTCTAAACCTGAGCAAAAAAATTTAAAATAAAAGACCCACCAAACTCAGACCCTTGTACACTCAAAGTAGAGACAGAGCCAGGAGCTGAGTGGGCAGCTGAAGCCAGCTGGGTGGTGTAAATGCAGGAATTCTGATTTTCTCCAGCTACCTGGCCTTAAAGCTGGGCTGCTGTTTACTTTTTAAATTGACTTTGTCTTCCTGTAGCTTCTGACAGAAAGTTACATACAAAGTCTGTGATAAATGCAGAATGTGTGAACTTCTGCTGAATACGCTTAATCCCAAAGGATTTCTCTGGTGTTTACTGTCAGTACCTAGTTAGGTGCTATAAATCCAGTTGCACCTGAGAAATTCAGGCTGCAGAAGATGAAGTAGTTGAGGCAAAGTGTGGCCATTTATACAGTTTCAGCATGGAGGTGCTTGTTCATGTCCCCAGAGTGCTTTGTCACTGCACCTGAGCCCTGCTCAGGCCAGAACTAACCAAAGTGGGAAAAAGTGAGGTTTTATTTTTCCTCCTAGTTGACAAAATTGTCCTAGGCCCTCCAAGAATCATGTGCAATTGAATGATGATTTTGTCCTTTCTTTATAGAAAACTCACCTCCGCAGGTATTAATTCAAGAAAACTTGTCTCCTGATGAAGGAACTTCATCTCTATTCTGAAAAAGCCAACTCTGCCAGGTTTTAAGCACAGAAGTGGGTGAATTTTATTAAAACCCTGAGGCAAGAAAGCTCATCTAAAATAGTCAAATGGAAATTAAAAGCTCCATAGGTAGGACAGAATAAAATCCTAGACTGGAAAAGTTACCTCATCTTGATGAACTCCTTACCATGCTTACCAGATTAATTTTATTTTGGTTAGCATTAACTTTATTTAATTTTAAAGGAATTTGTTTCTAGGATTATAACATTACTCAAAAAGCATCTTGTAGTACTGTGAGAAAAACACTGTTTGAGTCTTTTCTCATGCCAAAAGTTAAAAAATCAAATTTATATCAAGTCTTAATCTCAGCCTTTCTCCCAAAAGCAGCCATGCCCAAACGATTTGCTCTGCATTCACACTGGTGCAGCTGAGTAATGCGTGTCCTGGCACAGCCTGATCCATTCCCTCCTCTGTCACCTAAACCAAGCAGAAAACCCAATCAAAGCCCCTGAAATGTGGAAATTTCCTTCCAGTGCCGGCACTCGGCGTTCAGAGGGGTCTGTCTGTCCGTGCTGGCGGCAGACACTCACTCAGGATCGGGTACATGAGCAGCACTTTCCTCCTGTAGATGTCTGGGGGGAACTTGGCGTAGTACACCTTGGCTCGCTGGGTCTCCTCGTCGCTCTGGATCAGGATTTTCCCGATGCGGATGGATCTGCAGCAATCCCGCAGGCCCTGCTCCATCGCCTCCCCTGCAAGGGGCAGCACAAACACAGCAGCAGATGCTGACACTGACAAAGGGCTCGGGACAAGGGGCTGCAGGGAAAGGGACAGTCCCAAAGGGACAGTCCCCAAAGGGACAGTCCCACCCCTGTGCTGGTGAACAGCTCAAAGCATTCAAACACTTGAAGCTCTTTCCCTTTTTCCCCATTTAAAGCAAACCAAGTCTCCTCGGTGTTGCCGAGCCCCTGGGTTTGGTGTTCCCACCTCTCCCAGGAGAGAGCTGGAAAGGGCAGAAGGCATGGGTGGGGTTTGGGGACATCCCAGTGACAGAGGGTGGGGCAGAGTGTGGGGCTGCTGGCTGTGACAGCTCCTCAGATCCAAAGGTTTGCCCAGCACTGGGCAATACCAGGGACTCTGCCCCCACGAGCGTGGCTGGGGTGGGGCCCTGGCTCTGGGCACAAGTGGGAAACAGGGGAGGGCACCTGGCCCCTCACAGGGAGCGGCTGCCAGGGAAGAGGCCACAGGAGATCTGTTCCAGACATTTGTCTCCTTAAAGGTTAATGGGAGATATTCCTGGACATCTTGTTATCAAGGATACCTGAGAAAAAAGAACAACTTAAAATAAATACTAAACTGATAAATAATTTCAAGGAGATACTGTTACATTATGAAAAGTAGGCTTTGCCATGTTAATTTCCTTAATGTCATAGTTTACAGTA